ATGATGTGACAGACTTCACAAACTGATTTTTCAGGTATTTAAAATCTTTGGTAATATTAAATGATTATAAAGCAACCTCACTATTTTTAATCAAATATATTCAAATATTATTTCCTCTTTCAAAGCCATCTAAAGAGGCTATTCCACTACTGCTCCATACATTTAAGCACTTCTCATTAGTAATTATCATCAGCACCTCTTCTGTGCCATTAGACATGCTGAATGGTAACCAATCTTGTTCAATTTTTTGTGGCTATTCAAAGTAAGAATTTAATATCAAGGTGTTTAACTTCACAAGTCTATATAAGATTCCTCTAAAATAAAATTCTGTATGACAACTAATATTAACATCCTAGTACTGAATATTAAAAAAAATCATAAAGTAGAACAAATACTGTATAATGTCATATAGTATACTGAGAGTAATCAAATTCCTAAAGCCAAAGCAGAATACTGGCTGCCATGGGCGGAGGTGGAGGAGGAGGAGGAGGAGGAGGAGAAGGAGAAGGAGGAGGAGGAAGGAAAGGGGGAGGGGGGGAGGAGGAGGAGGCGGAAGGGGCGGAGGAGGAGGAGAAATGGAGCCACTGCTTAATAGAAATGATCACTGCTGGGAAGATGAAAAAGTCTCTGGAGATGCATTGTGGCAATGATTTTACAATGTAAATGTAGTAACTCAGAACTGGACATTTAAAAATGGTTAACATGTTAAATTTTATGAAACAGTTACACATACATATATAAACATATAAGGCTACACACTATAAAAACAAATAAATGGTTGGCCCTATAGTTCATCACTGAGATACAGGACGGGTGGGCTATAGTTTGCTCTCACCTCAACCAGCTGACTCTGTAAACCACTTTAATTCTTTCTGCTCCAAAGGCTTTAGAAGGTTAAGGAGTCACGTGAATCTAAGTGTGAGAAACTAGGAGGTAGGACAGTGAGAAACACCCCCTTTATCAAATTTGGGAAAACCTTCCTATGCAGAGAAAAAGGTTGAAGATTCTTCAACTTGAGTAAAAAAGTTATCAAGAAAAAAAAATATTATTATAGAAATTAAAAATTTAAAACCTAGTCATCTTCTATAACTTCTTTTGTGTCTTCAGTGATACTAGCACAGACTTTTACAGGAAGATGTACCAACTCTCTGAAAATACAGACACCTCTTACATAAAATATAACAAAGCCAACAAGAGAGGAATCTCCTTATTTGCAGAAAATAAGATTTCTATGATAAGTAGTCCATACATAATTATAACTAGTGAAAGAGTTCAGCAGGGATGTTCAAAGAGTGATACACTAAATCCACTGGCTACATTCTTGTACATCAGCAATAACCAATTTAAAACGCAATAGAGATAACATCTCACAATTATAACAAAAACTATTAGGTATCTAAAAACAAATGAAAGAATAAAAACATAAAGATATTAAAACTCAGCATTGCAAAGATGGTAACTTCCCCCAAATTCATTTATAAACAATTTTAATCAAAATCCCAACAGTATTTTTCATAGGAAATTGATTCTAAAATTTGTATAGAAGAGCAAAGAGCCAAGAGTAACTAAAACAATTTTGATAAACAAGGTAGAAGAAATGTGCAGCTGACACATGGTTAAACAAATAGACCAATGAAATAAAGACCTTAAAAATCAACAAACTTGGTACCTGACAGAGACTGTATTATGACTAAATAACAAGGCAGAAAAAACTGCTTACTTATATAAGGAAACAAAATTATGCTCTTTATAATACAGACAGAAAACCTCAAAGGATTACAAATATGAATCAAAAATTATAAAAACTGTTAGAAAAAATAGGGTAGATGACTTTCATGATCTTAGTGGCATGAAACAGTTCTTAAAACGTAATAGAAAGCACAAATAAAGTCTAAGTGAGAGATTAAGAGATGACATCTGCTATAAGAATAACTGACAAATACCAAGAATGCATCAACAACAGCAGCAAAGAGCAAATAACAGAGCAATGGACAAAGCTGACACACAGACAAGACACAAAAGGGAAACCCAAAGTGAGAAACGCGAAAACATTCAATCTTATTAGTGAGAAGGGGAGTGTACATTACTAAAGCACTGAGACACCATTTCCAAGGCTAGCAAAAACTTAAAAGTCTGGAAATACCAAGATGGGGAAGAAAGAGAAACTCCTACTCTAGTGTGAATACAAATTAAATTACCACTTTGGTTGGAGATGCTTATGTCTTACATTGCAGTGATTCCACTTCTGGTGAACAACTCATAGAAACTTGTACACAGGAAAACAAGTATTACCAGAATGTTCACTTCAAAATAGCAGAAAAATTAGAAACTACATAACCATGGATAAAAAATAAGTGAATAAAATGTGGTACTTTTCCACAGTAACATACTACTCTAGCCAACACAAACAAATTAGCAGTACAGAGATCAAAATATGTCACCTCAAAAGCAAAACTAAGTGAAAAAAGCAAGATACAGAATGACCCCATTTATATGCATTTTAAAAATTTCCAATGCTGCAAGTTTTATGGACACATACATATTCAGTAGCCGTATAAAATATTTGAGAGAATAATAAACACTGTATTTTATGAGAAGGGTTACTTCCAAGAACAGAGATAGGAGGGGAATAGGAATATGGAAGGGAATGAAGGAAGCATCATCTTTATCTTTTACACCAGACAGGTGTCAATGTATTCGACACAATATTAAGTCTTTAGGATAGTTAGGGTATTTGTTATTTTCTATATGTCTATATATTTGAAATACAGCATAAACTTTCTTAATAGGAAACACATTTTAAAATGAACTACAGCTACAGTATTAACATCAATACATCTCAAAAAAAGGTTAAGTTAAAAAATCAAGTAGAAGAAACACACAGACAGTATGGTACCATTTATATGCTACATACAACGGTTTTTAAGCTGGGCACAGTGGTGCGTGCCTGTAATCCCAATTACTAAGGAGGCTGAGGTGGGCAGATTGCAAGTTTGAGGCCAGCCTGGGCAACCTGGTGAGATCTTGTCTCAAAAAAATTTTTTTTCTAGTAAGCACATATATATTTGTATATAGACTAAATCTGTACTTACTTTTTTGTTTTTTAGGCAGTATGGGGGATCAAATCCAGGACCTCACATACTCAGCCACTCAAAGCCATATCCAGTCCTTTCATGAAGTTCTGAGACAGGGTCTCTCTAACTTTCTCAGGCTTCCCTTGAGCTTGTGATGGTCCTATTGCAGCCTCCTGAGAAGCTGGGATTACAAGGCTGTGCCATCATACAACTGGATTATCGTATCTTTTAAAAGATACAATAATATTTCATTTGCTAAAGTTTGAAACTGGATGGTTTTTTAAAAATTATATTTAGATTTTATACGTGTATAAATAACAATAGCAATAATAGGAAAAGGAGTAAGAATACAGCTAACATTTGAGCACTGGATGTATAGAAGGCACACTTGTAAGTGTTCACATATATATAATCCTAAAAATTACCCAAGAGGCAGGTTATATTATTATTTTCATTTTACAGATGAACAGAGAACAGAGAGGTAAAGGTGATTCAAGGTCATAAAAATTCAAGGTCATGAAAAAAGTAAGATATGAATCTAGGATTCTTGCTCCAGAATTTTATATCTGTTATTGTATCACTCCTTTCTCTTTAATGTATGTTTAAATACTTCATGAAAATGCTTTTAATCAATGGCTATAAAACATACATACACATATTTATATATCTAAACTGGAATTATCTAAGAATGTTTTGAAATGAGCAAGGTTTGATAATTTTAAAGATTATTTCGTAGTCATATATTATTTCTTCATTACCCTTAAGGTAACATGTATTTCTAGATAACTTATATGGGGGAAGATTTGACATAATTCCATCATCTTTCTCTTTGTCAAGATAAAATTCAATTACTTACCTTCTGGTCTGAAAACTCATTAAGAATTTTTAGTAAGCAACTGTGGCAAGAAATGTAATAGAATTTCAATTATTAATTTTTTACTGGTCTCTTTAATTTTGAGTTGCTTACCTTTAAAAAATTACAATAAAAACATCATTTGTACAGTCCTTTTTACATCACAAAGCAACAAAAAAAATTGGCATTCTCAGTCACTGAATATGAGCAGTGACCATGTGTTAACCCCATATTCCATGGCCCCTTAAGGTTACCATTTCTTTTAAAGTATCTCTTCTCAATCCACAAAACCACAATGTTACTGCTAGTTTACTAACCCACAGCACATGTATTCAAAAATTAAGAAGAAGTTCTCATTTGCAAAGAGTTTATAGCCTAGCAAGGGGAAAAAACAAGGGAATAAAAATTATCTATAATATGTCAGTACTTTTTAAAGTAGTTAAGCAGTGTTAGAAAAACATAAGCATTGAGGGAGATGTAAATAGTCAGTGCACTTTCAGAATAGGAAACCTGGGGCATGATGAGCAGGAAAAATCTGGTGAGGATAGAATATTCTTTGAAGAAAATTTGTTTTCAAAGGAAGAAGAGGGTAACAGCTAGAGGTACAGGCTCTAGAGAAGTATTTAAGCAGGACTGAGACATACTAACCATCGATTCCTTTGAACTATTTTCCTTTGCTCCACTCCTCTCCTAACAGGAAATCCCAGCTGGTCATTTACTAAGCACCGCAAGCCACTTAACATTTTTAAGCTTCAAAAGAGATGACTGTTTTAAGAACGTTAAATTAGAAAGGAAATTCAAATAAATGCTCTGTAAAGTTCTTTTCTAGAACTAAAATAAAGAACTATTCTGTGATAATGAAAACACTGCTTAAAAGTGAAGCTTAGACATGTAAATCATCTTTTAAAATAAAGTCTTCAGAAGTCTGTGTATTATGGACTTACATTTGCTGTCTTTGCCCTAAAATCTTAATGTGCAAGTTGAAGGGTTATGAAGGTTTTTAAAAGAATAGTTAGTAATATGCCTTTTTCCACGATTACACATTGTGAAATTTATAACAAGGTTTCCCTTACCTGATATGGACATGGAATGTGATATTCTCTGCAGCGTTCTTGTATCCATGTTGTTTCCCAGATGCCACGGTAAGCTTGCTCATAAAAGTAGCATCCAATTACAACCAAGAGTGGTACGAGATACAGAATGCTGAAAACACCAATCCGGATCATAAACTTCACTAATTTATCTTGGTTTTCCTTTTCTAATGGAATCTCAATGCGAACTCGGTTTAGGGATATAATGCCGGCTAAGAGGAGAGAAACCCCAACTACCACGTACAGGCAGAGAGGGGCAAGAACAAAATATCTTAATGCATCAATATCGTAGAGGCCAACAAAACACACGCCACTAATATTGTCACCTTCAATTTTATTCATCGCTAAAAGGATGATAGTCAGAGTTCCGGGAATGCCCCATGCACTGGCGTGAAACAGCAGTGCTTTCTTCTCAATAGCTTCACTACCCCACTTTGGCACCGCTGCTAAAAACCATGTGATGGTAAGAATTACCCACCATACACTGCCAGCCATCGTGAAAAAATAGAGTACCATAAAAAGCATGGTGCAGGCTTTATTATGAGATCCTTGAGTCACGGTAGAAGCCTTATACTGTGCAGGGCTGGAGGCATTGCAGGCTACTCGGTCCTCAAGCAAAAACCCAATGAAGAAAATTAACGACACCATCATGTAGCAGACTGCATAAAATATAATAGGCCTTTCAGGATAACGGAATCTTGTGACATCAATCAAAAAAGTTAAAAAAGTAAACAGTGTGGCAGAGAGGCAAATGATTGAAATCAGTCCTATGAAATAGCGAGCGAATGATAGTTCTTCTCTCCTAAAGTACATGTTGGGACAAGGAGGTGAACAATCACGCACGTGCAAAAAAGAATAACCAAGATCGGGATCAATTTTCAACTCTCGAGGACACCAAAAACCATAGTCCCTCTGCACTGCCACTGGGGCTCCTTCTGTTGGATCTCCAACTAAATTCAGATCCACAAGGCGAGGATATGGCTCATCACAATCTGGAAACCTAAAAAAACACAAGATAAGAACCACTTTTACTTCCAGGGAAATCTTCTGCCACCTAACAATTTGGATTCTGAAATTTAGCACTTATGGCCTTACTTATTTCTAAGTTGTTAGAGGGCAACTGTGTAACCAGAAACCAGTGTTGATAAATTGTTTGTAGGCCATACAATCATGTTTTTAAGTAGCTTGCCAAAACATGACACGGTTTTAAGCTGTTTTTAAAAACAAACAAACAAAAAACAAACATCCTTTTTTTTTGGCCTTCAAAATCAGCATTCTTTATTAGACAAATTAAACACAATCATCAATTGTGTTTAGTTAGGACACAGTTTTAGAGGATGACTTTGAAATCTAAAAATACAGGGGTATAATTATATAGCTCCGACAGAACAGCAGCTAGAAGTTTACGCATAAGAGTTAAAAGTCTTCCCTAAATGTTCAAGGTACTGTGAGTTATAACAGATTAACTATCCTTACAAGTGGCTGGCTGTTAGATCTCACTTCACATTCTCCCTCTGCGTAGCCTATTTACTGACTAGGTTCGTAAGGTCTCCAAATGTCACTTAGTTCTTTCCTACCATCCCTGATTCCTCCCCAGCTCACTGTACTCTTTAATAGTTATTTTCAAACTTTGAGGTACATTTTAAAAAAACTTGATATTTCTAAAATCCAAATTATTAGTCCCCTAACACTACAGATCATATTTCAGAATTCTTGTGGTTGTAAAATAAAATCTGTATTTTACACTTATGTTTTGGATTTATCTCATTTAACATTATGTTCTCAAATTTATTCATTTGTCTATGAATGACTCAAGTTTACTGCTCTCCTTATGAGAAACTAAAAAATATGTAAATATATATTAAATATATGATTTAAAATAGGGATAGAAGGAAGGAAAATAGGCACATACAAATACAAGACAGGGGGAAGTTTAAAAAACTAAATTATTCTGTTGTTTCAAAATTTTTTTTTTTTTGTCTTTTTCATTTTTATCGGTACCAGGGATCGAACTCACGACCGCCTGCTTGCAAGGCAGGTGCTTATGCCGCTGAGCTAAATCCCCAGCCCCTGTTTCAAATATATTTTAAGGTAAATGCTAATTTGTTTCATTTCAGTTTCTTCTGTTTATTTCTTCTTTGTGAGAATCTTTTTTGTTAGTGTCTTATATTCTGAGTGACACCAATGCTGAGTAAGAATGGCTAAAGCCATTCTTTTGAGATCATGATACACACTATATTAACCATTGTTATTCTCTATTTTGTTATTAAGTTCTGTTTTACTTTTTCACAGAAAAGTTTTTATATTTTCCTTGTTAAAATCTACTTGTATTACATTAAAATAAAAAATATAAAAAATTTTTTAAAAACTGTGTTAACAGGCTTCCAAATGAACCACAGACTTCAGAAAGTGTAATAGCCTCAAGATAAAGGAAACAAGTTTTGTTGCAGGTATATTTATATGATTAAGGACCCATTCTCACAAATACTTTCAACTTCCTTGCCAATTTCAGTTTCTAAGACTTTAGACTCCCACTTACTAGTCGTTTATTGTTTTATATGCATCAAATGCTTCCCAGAAATTATCACAGATGTTAAGTTTGCCAAATCATGCATAACATTAACTGATCAATATCTTCAAATCTTTTTCTAATACAACTATTTTCTTCATTTTCTAATACAACTATTTTCTTCACAGAACTTGGAATTATAAGGCCAAACTACAGAAGTTTACTGCATGGTATCCCAGGCCTAACAATAAAATTAAGACAAAAACATAAAAAAACCAGGAGAGTTTATCTTTTGGCCTAGAAGGAGACAAAAACTTTTAAATGTAACACAAAATATAGCAGTGTTATGTGTAAGGCAATTACTATACAAGATAAAAAATGACAAAATAATTAATTGTATCAGGGAAAGCTGTTGTGAAAGACTTTACAGAATGAGTCCCTCTCTACAGGCTCTGAATCAGTATTTCCCAGGATTAATACTGTATAGGCCAATCAGTATTCTAAGAAGCAAATACAACCAAACTCACAGTGCATTTTGCATTACAGGACCACGAAGTGTGCATGAGTGGCAACAAGAGACAAGAGTACAGAGATAATACATATTGTAAAAATATGTGAGCACGTGAACCACTGATGTAAAATTAAGTCACACAAAATAATGCCACCTATCTCCTATGAGCATGGTTGTATATCCAACCATTAATGTATACACCCAGATGTCTAATGGGCACCTGATCTATAACCCTTCTAAAACCAAGCACGTGACTTCTATACCAGTTTTTCCACCTAGATAAATGGTAACCCCCATTTTCTAGCTGTTTTGGGATCTTTCTTGAAGTCCCTTGTCTCTCATCTGCAACTAACAATCCATGCCAGTAATTCCTGTCAGTCTATTTGTTTGGATCTGAAATTTTCCCCAAAGGCCACGTGCTAAAGGCTGGGTTCCCCGTTTATAGCACTGCGGTTGCAAAGCTGGAGATGTTAGGATCTGAGGGCCTAAATGGAGGACTGACTGCAGGACTCTGAATGGTTTATTTTGTCTCTGGTTCTGTCTATCTCTTTCTCTTTCTCTCTCCTTTCACTTCCTCTCTCTATCTCTTGTCTGACTTGAACTGCTGTGCTCCAAAACATGTTCCTCTCTCGTAGCTATATCTCACTGCAAGCCCAGACACAATGCAGTTAAGCCACTATGGACTGAACCTCTGAAAAGATGAGCCAAAATAAGATCTTTCTCCTTTTTTTTCCAGTGTATTTTATCATGATGACTAACATAGAGATTTAATTCAGAATCTGACTGTTTTTTTTTCCACTGCTCTCCTTGTCCAAGCCACCAACACCTCTTCCTTGAACACAACAGCCAGTCTAAAAACAGCCTTTCTGCTTTGTCTTGTTGTTATTGTGCTGGGGTTTGAATCTAGGACCTCATACATGCTTGGGAAGAGCTGAACCACTGAGTCACGCCCCAGGCTCACAATGGGCCTTCGACATACATTTCTGAATTCATAATCATGGCTCTTCTCAAACTCCTCTTCCTATCTCATTCAGAGGCAAATTCCATTTTCCCTGCAGTGCTCTGCAGACCTCCTGCCCTAGTACCAGTTCATACTTCTTTCCATTCTCCCTCATTCACTTAGCTCCAGTCTCTTTGGTCTTCTGCTTTTCAATGAATTTGTCAAGCAGACTGTACTTTGAACTTCAGAGCCTCTGCACTTGCTGCTGCTGTTTCCTCTGACTGAACTGCTCCTCCTCAGAAATCTGCTTCATTTGTTCTCTCATTCCATTCAGGGCCCTAGTCAAGATCCTATTATTAAAATGCCCTTTTGCATGACTCTATAGAAAATGGTCCTTCTGCTCCCCTCTACTGTATCAGTACCTCCTGCCTCTATTCTTTCTTGTTAGAATTCATGACTATCTGACATCAACTATTTACCTGCTACCTTTCTCCATTTACCACCATCACTAGAATTTTAGCTCCATTAGAACAGGGACTTCCTTTTATTCACCGCTTACCTTCAACATCTAGAAAAAGTGACTGTGGCACAAAGACATTCCTTGATATTTGTTGAACTAACAAACACTAAATGAATATATTCATATAATCCTTACCTAGGTAATCAAATAGATATCTAGAAGCAGAATGAAGTCAGGTTTGAGCTGAGTAAAATCCGTGGCAGAGAGATCAGATGAAATGCATACACTTTTAAAATAAGTAAAAAATTAAAAAAAATAAAGCTACTGAAGCTAGTCCGATGGCAGTGGGTTATCAGAACTTATTAACATTAGTGTCACTAAAGTTGGTATACTATCCCCCCACTGCTAAATTTGATTGGCTTTAAAAAAAAAAATAAAGCTACATAAGGAATGAGATAGGAAAGTAGAGAAAAACCAATGGAATTTTAACTAACTGGATATGAGGGTTGAGATTAATGGGGAAAATACCACAAAATGACTTTCAAGGAATTTAAAAAAAGAAGAGCAAAAGAAAAAAATTAATTTTGGACATATTGAAACTGAGGAATCTGAGACAAATACAGGCTGATTTCCAAAAGCTGATGGATATGCAGGTTTAGAACTTAGCATGGAAATAACATGGCTTCAGATTCAGGTTTAGGAGTCAATGGTACATAAAGAGTTAGAATCCATGAGATGAGACTCCAAAGAAAGCTGTGGAAAGAACAAACAAAACAGGAACTGAACTCTGAGGATAATAAGGGACAGAAAGGGGAAGAAGTTCCAAGAAAATTGAGAAGGACTGATCTGAGACACAGTAGATCAAACACTCTAGTCTAAATGATTTTCAGTAAAGGAAAAAGGCTAAGGTTAACAGGCAAAGGGAATAAAGCGGAGAGTGACGTAGATTTGTGACACAGATTTGGTACAAAGACTGCGGTAATGAACCAAATTTTCCAGAGCAAGATAAACAGTTACAAGTAACAGAATTTCTACAGTTTAAGAATCATTAAGTATACAGCATAGTTAACTTGTAAGAAATTGGCTAGATCAGTCTATTCAGGGGTCTGAAAAAGTACAGTGGAAATACTAACCCATTGGAATATCTAACAAGTTGCCCTCTCAGCAGCACCATGCCTGCCTGGCAAGTGTGAGGCCATGAATTCGATTCTCAGCACCAAAAAAAAAAAGTATGAGGAATAACCAACAAGTTATTTTACGTGATAGACCAAAAAGTTTAAACTAAAGAAATAAATGAGATTAGTTTCAGCATATTGGGGGATTGGGACTGTAGCAAATGTAAGGACATCTTCAATCTCATTTATTTCTTTAGTTTAAACTTGTCTTTGGGGGAAGTTATTAGTTCCTGGAGGCAGAGCCTTTATGGATTAATGCCCTTGTAACAGAGGCTTCTGAGACAGAAATCCCCCCCCCCCCACTCGCTTTCCAGCCCTTCGGCCCCATTCTTCCATTAGCAAATGCCAGGTCACAAGCAAAACTGCTTTTTTTTTTTTTTTATTTGTCTTTTTTTTTTTTTCATTTTTATCGGTACCAGGGATCGAACTCGCGACCGCACACTTGCAAGGCAGGTGCTTAAGCCACTGAGCTAAATCCCCAGGCCTGCAAAACTGCTTTTAAAAATGAATGTTTTTTGTAACGAAAACCTGGGAGCATCCTAAATGACCAGTAGGAGACAGCTAAATGATGATGTTACTATAATTACTTAATGATATTAAGTTTTAAGTAGCAATTAAAAAGAATAAACCAGACCTAGAGATATAAACATAAACACACATAAAACAAAAATAAAAATCTTATGTTGTTTGTATTTGGCATACAGGGTATGGTTGAGAACTATGGTAATCATTTCAATTTTTAAAAATTTTACTACACTGAAAGACACACTGCCTTCAATGCCCCTTGCTTCAAATATACTTATTATTCTTGCACCCTTCTGAAGTGTTCCTGAAGGTCCTTTCATGTCTTTAGTTGCACTGTCATGGGTGCCTTGATATCCAGAATGGATTCAAAATATTTACTTTCCCAGGACTTCCAGAAATGTTAAAAAACTGGCAAGAGTTGGGCTGGGGTATAGCTCAGCAGCACAGCATCTGTCTGGCAAGCATGAGGCAGATTCCTAGTACAAAATTTTTTTTAAAAAGTAGCAAGAATGATGGGATAAGCATTTTGAAGCAAGATGGAATATTCTGAGAAGGATAAATGGCAATATGTCTTTGACTGTAATTTTAAAAAGTTAAACATCTTTTGTATATGTAGAACACACTTCATAACTGTAGTAAGTGCATAAAAGCAAAAACAGAAATGATTACAAACAAGTCATGCCTGCGTATTTTATTTCTTAAAACAAAATCTGAAGCAAACATTACAAAATGCTAAGATGAAACAAAGCTAGATAATTATAGGCACACAGATATTCAACTTACTATTCGTTAAGACAGTGTATTATTAATGATACTCACTCATATAAAACTATAAGAATGTCTAATGAATCCTCAAGCCTTAGGAAATCCTTACAGTCTATGTGTTAGATGTGAGGTAAAATGCACCTAACATTTTCTGGATTTGGTGCATTAATAAATGATGGAAAAGAAATCTGACAGACAACTTCAGTCATTAACATATCTAAATCAAAGGTCTTTAAACCACTAGTGATAAGGTAATGAATATTTTCTTCTTTGTGTATTTGCTAATTTTCCATGATGACATTATTTTTATAACCAGAAAAAATGTTTGAAAGAAACAAAAACTAATTGAATATCTTAATTACATAATTCTTAATCCTTTAAAAATTTTTTTGATATATGTATGTATATATCTTTTAAAAATAGATAAAAAGACAAGTATTTTCAAACACATTGTAGCAGAAAAAATGACCCATGAAAATGTATAATTTCCATACCTACTGCATTCCATATCCTCAGGCCAAGGAACACCGAACATCTCCATGAGCTTTGAACACTCACTGTAGGCCCGCTGACACAGCCTGCGACAGGGAAGGGTGACCCGTCCATATTCCATACAGATAGGAGCATACAGTGCACAAAGAAATGGCCGGAAATCTCGAGAACAATCCAGATTTACCATAGGGTGGAAGGGCTAGGAAAATAAAATAAAATAGAATAATTAGATAAAAAGTTGTATGTAAATTAAAGCTTTGGTAATATTTCAACTTAGTTTTTTTCATCTTAAAAAACTTCTGAAGGTATTAAAATTTTTTTGAAGAAGAACAAGATAATTAATCTTGACTGTTACTTGACTGGATTTAGGAAGAGCTGAGAAAGTAATGAAGTGTACTTTTGTGTGTGGCTGTGAAGCTGTTTCCAGAGAAGCCTAGCAGGAGGGTCGCCATGCAGAGTGGGAGGTGGACAGCACCATCAGTACCCTGGAGTCTGTGAGTGCATGTTCTCCTTCTCTCTGCTCCTGGGCTGCCACCAAGTGAGCAGATTCTTCTGCCACACCCTTCTACCACGGTTCTGCACTCCTGCACGCCTAAAAACAATGCAGCCCGCTGATCACAGACTAGAACTTCTCAAACCGTGACCTAACATAAATCTTTGCTCTTTGAAGCTGTTATTCTCAGGGATTTTGTCACAATGATAGAGGCCAACACAAGGAGTTCTTGTTTTTTTTTAAAAATAAAATCCTCTTAGCTTACCCCTGGATCCCAGATTCTGTATGTATATTTGAAACACTGCACGTGACATTAATAATGAAGCAGGGTTGAGAATGAAGAGGAGGAAAAGCAAGAGAAGGAAGGTGACAACAATCATTCCAAATAGGGATGTTGAAAAAACCCCAAAAGCTTTGCACCAAAGCTCCAAACTGTATGACTACACAGTGATAGGATTGTAAGAGACTTTTCTTTTATATATTTCAATTTTCATGTTTTCTTTAATTAACATGTATCAGGAGGAAAAAAAATAAGCAATAGAAGCAGGGAAGGAAAGGAAGAAGTAAGTAATTACACTTAGTAGTTGTTTGAAGGGTTGATGTTGGGAAACAAATCATCTTTGGCTAAAAATTACTTACTCTTTTTACATTTTTGAAAAAGGTTTAAGCAGTTCTTTAAAAATGAAGACACATGTTGTAATAGAAGCGAACAATATAACCTGATATTAAGGAAACAAAAAGAAAATAGCAGCCCCAAACACTAAAATATACTAAAATAACCACTTTAACCACAAGAATACAGATCACATAGCCCAAGAAATGTGTACCTAGGTTTTTGATTACTTAATTTCCCCCCACTTGTTTATATAGTGGTTTGAGTCACAACTGATTCTGAGGTGTTAATAAAGTATTCTTACCACCATCCTTTTCCACTGAGTAGAAACCAAGTTATTTCTAAACTGAGTTTAATATTTTCCAAAGGTCTCCCACACATAATGCTATCAGAAAATCAAGAGTCAGTTAAAGGAACTGATGTCAGGGAAGTTAACTATATACTGGATGGGATAACACAACATAACAATACACTATCTGTAGCTATCAAACCGTTACATTATGTTAATAGAAAGCCAAACCTTCACCTGTGAGCCCCATAAATTACAAATTCGATTTGAATGACTACTTTGTGCTGCTTGTTCTGAACCAAAAGCTACAAGTTTATGTTTCTGCAGTTCACTAGTTCTAAGTTCCTTGTCGGGCTCTACTTTAGGTAGCATTTTCTGATACTTCTTGTCAGGCAATATTTAAAGTACCTTAAAGTATTTTCTCATTTCTATCTCACAATCCTATAAAGTAGGTACTATTATAATTAATCTGATTTTGTAATCAGATTAGAAAGACACAAAGAAAGTGAAGAAAATAAGACACAAAGTTAAGTAACTTGTCCAAAACGACACAGCTGGAGATGGACCCAAGAGTCAGTTAAACTTTGGTGTGTATGTAGAGACCCTACACTTAACAATGTGTTCTGCTTAGCTGCTCTAATCTCTAGTTTCCTCTTCTGGAAAATGATTTTAACACTTAAATAAAAACAAGTGGATAATATTGGGAACAAAATCAATAAATGATACTTTAAAAGTGGTTTAAGGAATAGCTGCAAGTAAACAGAGATGTAACAGGCCTATTTGGTGGCATGAGGAACACCACTAAATTTCCCATTTTCAACTGTCAAACAAGAAAGTCAGCAAAATGACACTTCTGAAAAGCAGAACAAAACACAGAAAGTAGCAAAATCACAATGCTGGGTTAAAAAATAAAAGCCAGATTAAAGAAACCAGACACAGAAAAAGATTGTGTATGATTCTATCTATATAAAATTCTGGAGACATTACACCTCAATAAAGTTATGACACCCAAACAAATCAAAGTATTAATACTCTTAACTGCCTTAATTTTAATCTTAACGATTTTAAATCTCAAAAAAATCAAAATAAGGTAGCCTGATTCTTTAAAAGTTGAGAACAAATATGTAACAACAGGAATACTACTAATGCACTATGAAGTAGAAAAAAGGAATTTTAGCTGATTGAATTTTAAAAGATCCTTATTATTGCCCTATACGGTAGTACTTTTGTCTATTCAATCAAGACCAGGGTATAGGAAGTTTACAAACTGGAAAGTAACTTTCTAAAATTAAATTTCTAGTTTATACAACAAAGGTGCACCACATGGAACCTTAGATTCTTTGTTCAAATTCAAATCAACCAATCCTTTGTGCTCTCATTCTTTCTTCTTACAATTTTCTATCTCTGTTACCATAGGAACCTGCTAGCCGACAACTCTTCAAGCATAGCAATAGCCCAAGCCTGGAAAGGAGTGGGTAAAGGGGACAGAGTCAAAGGCCAAAATGTGACTCAAGAGAATCCGAATTCCAACTTTTGTCACCCTACAAAGGGTTCAGTAACCACAGAAACCATACCCCATGGGGTTTGGGAATCTTACAACTAAATTCACTAAACATGAACCCAAATGTGGAATGGCCATGAAAATTCAAAGATGGTATTCACAGCTATTTCAGATCCAAATTAAAATAAGCAACTATTCAGAAACAACTTTTTAGAATAATTTTAAGCAAAAAAAAGAACTTAAAAGAACTTTCTGTAACAATAAAGTTTCTAAGGAGAAAGGTACAAAACTTTTCAGAATCATTTTGTAACTAGGTTTATAAAAATATCTTTAGTCTCATAACCTTCTTTTTCAAATTTTTAAAAAAATGTTCCATGGCACTATATTAAACAAATACTTTCCAATAGTCTTTTGGTAGGTTAGTTTGAAATAATTAAATAGATCACAGAAACCTATGGAGTTCCCATAAATTTGACTTTTCAGAAATAAACTTTTGGGCTGTGGATACAGCTCAGTTGTGCAATGCCTGTCTGACAAGTGTAAAGTCCTGAGTTTGATTCCAAGCACCAAAATACATACATACGTACAAAGAAATAAACTTTTAACATTTTCAGTATAATGGACAGTTTTGAATTATGGCATACCTCAAAATATAAAACTCTACAAAGCAAATTCCAACTATAATATTTTAATTTGAAGCAAGTATTTTAGGGTATTCTAAATTGATTCATCACACAAGGATCATTAAAATTTTCAAAAGCTGTTCTTTTTCTTCTAAAATCATAAATGCAGTTCAGTTCTCTACTAATTGTATGTACATTTTTCAACTTAGAAAAGTTGTACTTTTAGCTAGTTTATGCCAGTCACAAAACTGGGTTTTGCAGCCATTTCAGGGCTAGGGCTAGGGCTAGAGCTGAGTGCTAAAGCTTTTGCCTAGAAAACATACGAAGCCCTGGGTTGAATCCCCAGCACAGCAAAATTAGTGAATAAAATAAATGAAAAAAGTCTCATTAGATTGTTGTTTGTTAAAAAAAAAAACCCACTTTATTAATTTTATATAAACAAAAAACAATATGGAATGCATATCTACTGGGTAACACGTATTATACCTAAAACCAAGAGTTCTAACAAAAGAAATTTTGTCTTCTAAAAAGCTTGTTCAAAACTGTGCATGGTGGCACAGGCCTATAATCCCAGCACAAGGAGGCTGAAGCAGAAGGATGACCTTGAGTTCATGGCCAGCTTGGGCTACAAAGCAAGACCCTATTTCAAAAATCCAATCAATAATCAATCAATCAAAAGCCTGTTCAAAAAATGGTAATAATTATTGTTATGTGGGATATCTTATATTATTTTCTTAAAAAAACCAAACCCAACAAGCCATCAGACCTTCAAGATCCACTCACTACCATCTGTAACCTGAAGCCTTTCCTGCTGACCTCCACGCATGATCCTTCTTACTGCTTTGTGCCTTTTAGGTGCTGTGTACCAAGGTGTACACATTTCGGTCACTCAATCCAAACATAGCTAGCATTTAATACATACTAAACCTTAAGCTGGGCATGGTGGCACATGCCTGTAATCCCAACTCCTCAGATGGCTAAGGCATGAGCCATGAGTTCAAGGTTAGCCTAGTACCACAGCTACACTCATGGCTCATGAAAAGAAAAGAAAAGAAAAGAAGCAAAGCTAAATCTTAGGCTCTGCCCCAAGGGCCTAGGCAAAAAGGAGCAGTTGAGATTTTTCAAACTAATGTTTCTTTACTAATTTTGGTACTTTTACAACACTATGTATGGGCTGGGTGCAGTTCCATTGTAGAGATTCTTGGGTTTTTACTCCAGCAAGAATTAGAATTATTGTATGGTCTGCCAATTTAACTTCTGGGGATACACTATATCCAAAAAGAAATGGAAGTAGAGACTTGGACAAACTATACATCCAGGTTTGCAGCAGCATGGTTCAGACTTGTCAAAATGTATACAGAAACCAAATGTTCATTAAGGGCTAAGTACATAAAATGAAAATTGATCATATATACAATGGAATCAGTCTTAAAAAGGAAGGAAATGCCTTCACCATGGTACAACATGGATGAAGCCTGAAAACATGCTAAGAGCAATGAGGCAGTTGCAAAAGAACAAATATTGTCAGACTCCAATTATATAAAGTCACTAGGGGACTCAAATTCAAGGCAGAGAAAGTAAAATAGTGGTTGCCAAGGATGAGGGGGCAGAGAGTTGATGATTCATATGTACAGAATTTTAATTTTGGTGGAAGGTGAAAAGGTTCTGAAGATGAAACTG